AAATTTTTAAATAATACCAAATTTAATACTTTAATTTTAATTGTTATATTATATTTAATTATTGTAATTTGACTTTTTTTCTCGTGGCTTTTTTTTCTGTGGATTATTTTTCCTGTGACTTTTTTYCCTACATTCATAGACATATAGTCAACTATAGCTAATATRTTACAAAAAGTCCAGGAAATACATAATAATTTAAAAATTTAAAAATTGTGTTGTTACTCTATCGTATATCTGACTCTTGTTCTGCAGAAGGTCAGTACATATTATGACGCATAATAATCGTAGGTACCTATCTACTATATTAGTCAATACTCAATAGGTACCAGTGCCTACTGCCTTTGCAGTGTAGTATTCAAGTACCTAGTGTGGTGGTGTGGTCACTAAGCACTTCTAATTATCATTATAACAATTACACCACAACTCCTGTTTTATATTTTATAATTTTGTACAGTGGCGCAAATAATTTTATTTTTACAGAATGCAAACTTGGACATTTACTATAGCTATAGTACCCAAGGGCCACCCCCTCATTAATTATGAAATTCATGAATTAATCATAAAATATAACCAATTTAAGCTGAGAAAATCATTTGTGTTTCTACGTTGAATTTTTTAAGATATTTTAATTTGTATACACTTTTATAAACATTTTTAAATTTTAATAATTTACATTTTACACGATCATAACTTACATACAAATTAAAATATCATAAAATAACCAACGTAAAGGTTATGTCTTTAAATTAAAGTTTGATAATAGGTGAATTCACTCTAATATCAAAAGTAAAAACACTACAAGATTGGTCTGCTAATGGCTAACATATATTTTCTATAGGCATGTTGCGCGTGGGTGAGGGAGAGAAAACAAAATAATTGCGCTGACATCTTCTTAAATCTTATAATATTTTCCTGTGGACGATGGCAAATTAATATTGACGACTGACGGTACTTGTGCAGTTGTGCCGAAAACAGGGAACTCTCAATTTGGGAAGTATTATACTCTACTTATTAGCATTTAACGGGGCGTTTCGGTGCTCGGCGCTTATCAAGTCGGTCGTCGGTCGACTCGGTCGTACGGTTGTCAAAGTTCGGAAACTTATTATTACCGACATTCGGCAAGCGTTCTAATGGTGAATGGGGAGGGGAAAGTTTCGACTATCTGTATTCTGTCTCTACCACGGTGTTGTGTCAGCGTCCAGCGGGCAGCGACCCGTCACCCGTCGGCCGTCAGAGTGTCACACTCATTTCGAGAAATACGAATAAAATTACAAATTATATAAAATAATAATATTTAGGTATTATACTGATGTCCAATAAATAAAACGTCAATTTAATTTCTAAACAAGTATTAAATATATATATGTTTTATATATAGGTATGAAAAGTATTTTTAAATTTTTAATCAATATTGCCTATACAATAACGATTACGATTAACGGTGTACATTTAACGACGACTTGTTACGCCGGCCCATATCAGCATTCGGCTCTCGTTCATCGTTGAAAATGATTCAAATGTCAAATAAAAATAATGTGYATGTTTCCACTGGTTCAAGTAATGACTTGGATCGACAAATCGAACAGCTTAGACAATGCGAAATCATTATGGAAAACGAGGTGAAAACATTGTGTTCCAAAGCACGCGAAATACTCATTGAAGAGAGCAACGTGCAACGTATCGACTCGCCTGTTACCGTGAGTTCAATAATAATTATTATAAGAACACAACTAACTTAGAAGTTTATAAACCTCACTTGTCGCTTATAGTTTATAATAGTTTAATGTAATAATATCATTTTTAACTACCGTGTTGTTTTCGTTCTGAAATGAGTTTTTAAT